TATGGGATAAGCTAACTTTGGGGGTGCCGTTTTTCACAGTTAAAAATTTAGGAGCTCGCAGAAGTGCCTGAAGTGTTGAGCGAAGTCATTTCTGCAGTTTCGGAGATGGATACCAACGATTCTGTATGGATTTGTGTGAATTTTTTCTCATTCCAAGCATATGAAGTTCGCCTAAGACGAAATGAAGAGAGAAGTAAAAGGTCTGAGGATGATAGATCTGCATGTTCGGGTGTTGAGGCAGTAGTGAAGCGTTGCATCTGTCTTTATTTGCCTGTGTCGACAATAATTGCCTCCTGCAACTCGTATTGGTGGTTGAGGTTGTGATGCAAGGTTTAGTCATTACCTCACCATCGTATGAGACATGAATTTTTTTGAAGACACATTACACTTTAACATCTGAACTGCATGATCATCACCAATCATGATCATGAAGTTTTCAATCTGATCGTTCTCTAGGCGAAGAAGAAGTATAGTTGATTTTGGGATACATGCCCAATGGTATTTCATTTTTGTTGTTTTAGAAGGATGGCTCTGACGTCAACGATATTTTGACGGAATCCCCTGCTGTCAAGCAGCCCAATGATAAAAAACCTATGAAGAAAAAAGCATCATACCGTATTTTGTCGCAACTGCCATTGGAGGATTGGGGTCTACCAGACTCGTGCTTACAAAAAACTGCGGAGGTAAAGTTTTGGAAGAATAACTTACAAATTACTAATACGTAATGTTTTAAGGTGGTTGGAATTCTTGAAAAGAAGAATTCTCGTTTGGCAACTGGGAAACTGGAGCTAGCATCGTCAACCCAGCGTCAGTGGGCTAAGTTCTCTCCTAGTGATTCACGTATACCCCGCATGATGATCAATGCATCTCAGTTGCCCAAAGATTTCTTTGATAGGCCTCAGGTATGCTTTAGGTTATGATTATTGAGGATACTTTTTGAGGAGACAAAGTTCAGGATTTCGCCAAGTTTTTGTTCGTTGCAAAGATTGCTGAATGGCCGGAGGATTCTATCATGGCAGTTGGAACCCTGGAGAAGCAGCTAGGATTAGCCGGTGACATCAATGTGGGTGTTTAGCGAGAAATTCCACTGCGTAATGCCTTTTCATCATTTCGCCTTCTTAGGCGGAAACTGAAGGATTGCTGATAACAAACGAAATCGATACACGGGAGTTCTCTGACGATGTTATGGCTTGCTTACCTACAGTCCCCTCCGAGGGTTGGCGAATAGGCGAGGTAAAGCTCTCATATATCGTAGCTTAATATTCATCTTCGGTTATTACTGTCTAGGAAGAACTTGCCAAACGCCGCGATCTCCGTAGTCATATCATTTTCACCATAGATCCAAAAACAGCCCGTGATCTCGATGATGCATTATCAGTAGAACGTTGTGATGACGTCAATGGAGCTGGTCTTTCTGGCTGGGAGGTGAACTTGGTTATCAGATGGCGGATTTTTTTTT